CTGTTTCCCACCCATGTCCTCACCACCCTATTGTCGGTGTCCATGCGTTAGGCATATATGCAGACAAGTTCATTGGTTGATCTCTTCCCACCCACCCTCCCCTGCCTTCCCTCTGAGGTTCCATGGTCTGTTCATGCTTCTATTTCTCTGGATCTACTTTTGTTCATCAGTTTATTTGGTCCATTAGCAATGCAGACTGGTGCAGCCATGATGGTAAACAATATGGAGTTTCATTCAAAACTTAAAAATGGAACTCCTATTTGGCCCAGTGATCCCACTTCTAGGAATACATCCTAAGAAACCCAAAACACTCATCAGAAAGAATGTATGCACCTGTATGTTCATAGCCGTGCAACTTACAACAGCTAAGGTTTGGAAACAGCCTAAGTGCCCTTTAGCAGACGATTGGATTGATGGGGAAAATAAGGCATTTTGGGGGGCTAGCAATCTGAATCTGTGCATTGACCTAACGTACATTCTTGATGGCCTATAATTAAGTCACTGCCCCTTCTCCACAATGTGGTCTTACAAGACGGGTTTACTTAAGTACCACTCCCATTTTACAGAGGCCATAAACCATGAAAAAGTCCCAGAGGGGGTTATAGTGCTGCAGCCAGGCCAGGCCTTTAGGTGTGGTCTCATGACCCCCATCCCAACAAACGGGGCTTTTGGCAAGGCCCCAGAAAAGTTCAGAAGTCTGATCCTTATTTGGGGGACAAAGAAACCAAAGGGTATAAAGGAGGAGCGTCCTCCATATTGGATGGCTCAGGATTTGGAGAGAAACCGTCTGCCCTGAGTCAGGGTACTAGTACATGTGAAACATCTGAAAATAAATGTATTTTTCCTGTATCTCCTGTACTCCTGCATATTTCTCGGTCGGCTGTTAAATTCTGTAACAGGAAAACTGTGGTACAGAATCTACACTATGGAATACTATGTAGCCATGAAAAAGATAGAACTCATCATTTGTGACAGCATTCGTACATCTGATAAGGGGTTAATTTCCAAAATGTATATGAAATACGATTTTTGAACTGGAACACACAGTACTCCACTAGGCAGGATGGTTCCAGGGTTCTTTGTCCCTTGGAGTAGAAGAATTAATTCAGGGATGGAAGATGGGATAGCAAAGGTGGAAATTTATTAAAGAACAAGTACTGACTCCCACATGGGGAGTGGGAAAGAGTCTCACTGAGTCCCTTTTCCACGGTTTATAAAGGCTGCAGGTCTTTGTGCCTTCATATCCCCTCTGATTGGTCACTATTCCCTTAGACTGGTTACTATGGTAACTCCTGAACTCAAAGTTCCAACGTCACATG